TTTTTTTTTTTTTTTTTTTTTTTGGAAAAATTTTTTTTCACGAATCTCATCGAACTTACCCGGGACGCGAATCTTTTTTTCGAAAGACCAATTTTATTACCTTTTTTTTTTTTACTTTTTTTTTTGTCATTTTTGTACCCCGTTTATCTCTTACTCACGAGCACTCACTCGTTCGGATTCTATTCGATTTCATTCGATTCGATTTTCGATTTTATTCGTTCAAGAAAAAGACCGATAACAATACCACCATCACTACCACCACCACCATGAAATTGTATTATAGATTTAACACGAGTTTCTATTTTGTATTTTTATTAATTGCAACACAACCAAACGAAACGTCATCGAGTTTTTAATTATAATTTTTAATATATTATTTTTATTTTTAATTTTAATTTAATAATTTATTTATTTTAATTATTTTTAATTTTATATTAATAATATTTTAATATATTATTTTTATTTTTAATTATATATTTATTATATTAATTGTTAATTATACGAGAATATTTGATTTGTTAAGCGGATTACAATGATGGAAAATTCATTTTATTAATCTCAATCCTTTTTACGTATTATATAATATTTCTATTTCTTTTGTTTTTTTTTTTTTTCTCGTGTTTCAAATAATTCTTTACCAATGGGAGAAAAAATTATGCTCATGTGTAGATTAAATTGAATTTATTTATTAATAACAAGAATCTGATACTTGGTATCGAATGATAAAGAGAAATAATCAAAGTGACGAAGTTACGTGGTTCGTGGGGGTGGGTTTATGGGGAGGGGGGTCCCCTTTGTAAAAAGAAAATTCGTTGAGTTCAGGTTCGTAATTCACAAGGAAGAAAAAGGCACGCGTAACTGAAAGAGAGAAAGGAAATAAATCTTTTACGATAGTTGTTTCCCTTTCTTAGTAATAGTAGTAATAGTAGTAGTAGTAGTAGTAGTAGTAAACTTTTCCCAAAAAACCACCGAAAACTTTTCACTTTCTTCGATGTAATAATTTCTATAGGGGTAATCTCTTTTCTCGATAACGTTGAGGGAAAAAAGCTTTTGAAAAGTTCACGACTTACACGTACACCAACTTACAACCAACATCTATGTTGTTATTCGATTACTATTCTTTCTTCTTTCCTTCTTTTATACTTTCAACGTGGTAAGGGCCTAAAAAAAGGCCAAGTGATCAAAGTACGCGAACTTTTTTCAGAAAATTATTACTCGATTGTGGACAAAAAAAAATATTTCCATATGAGACATATTTTTTTCAAATTAATTCAACTGTTGCTCCCCCCTTTGTAAATTCTTTTTCTTATTTTTTTTTTTAATTTTCTATCGGTTTCTATCTATCGATACTATAAAAAAAAAGAATAGGAAATATATGGGGAAATGAAAGTAATTATTATATAATTAATTATATCAAAATATTTCTCGAATAATTCTTAAATATAATATATAA